GGGGTGCAGGAAGCAGGAGGACAAGGGCAGTTTGGGGGGGTGGGGGAGCCAGGGCTGGGTGTTAGCAGTAGGGGTGCTGGGGGGGCGGGTGGTCCATGGAGTCTATGAGGTGCAGAGCCCCTCGTGCATAGAGGAGGTAAAGAGGCTGTGGGGCTGCTGCACCCCCAAGATCTCATCGCCTCAGAGTGCTTTGTAAAGGGGAGTGAGCCCTGACTATGCGGGAGGGTGGGGTGTGCAGGGGGCCCCCCAGCCATGGGGGATGCTCTAGGGTGGGGTTTGCTGGGTTGACATAGGGCTGGGGTTGGGAGGGAGCTGTGGACTCAGGCAGTGGGGATTTGGGGTGATGGGTGGGGCTGGAAGGGGGGATTGAGGTTCCTGGTGTATCGGAGCAAGGCAGCAATGTCAGTGGCAAGGGGTAATGTGAGCACAGCCTTAGATCTGGGGGGACTGTGCTAGGAGAAGCTCCCTTGGTGAGAAGGAGATGGGTGTTTGCATATAGGGGGGAGACATAGGACCAGGTCAGGGGGGACAACCAGGGGCTGGTTTTGGGGGGGGGGAGCCAGAGTTGTGCTGGGTGTAGGGATGAGTGGAAGAGGGAGGGCGGAGGGCAGGTGTTGGGGTACCTGGTGTTTGGTGGCTTTGGTAAAGACCTTGGTTGCCTGCAGGGCAGGTGAGGAAGTTGGCAGCCCCTTAATGTTACCTCCTATGAGGTGTAACTCTGGGAAGAGATGGGACAGACGAGCACCTCTAGACCAGGGTCATGTTGCAGAGGACACACACACCTTCACCCCACAGTGCTGTCACCTCCATCCACCTCTACCCAGTTCCAGGAGATCCAATGACATGCCACAACCCTTGTTGGCCATCACCACCCAACTCATCCCCACGGGGATTGCTGGGGATGGGCCAGGCTGGCCCCTGCACAGGGGCAGCCTGTGGGGCTGGTGAGGCCCCAGAGGCAATGGGGTGGTGGGATTGAAGCCAGGGCCTCCCTGTTGGCTCCCAGCTTGCCCAGGACACTAGAAGAGCAAAAACTCCTCAAGGGACCATGGGAGCCAGTGAACAGATTGGTTAGTGGAGGTCCCTCCCTTTTGCCCCACAGTGTCCCACCCTGGCTGGGCAACTTGCCTCTGGCTAAAGCTGGGTCTCCCCTACCTTCTCCTGGTTCCCTGGCAGAAGAGGCTGAGCTCTCCACTGGGGTTGCCCCGGCTTCAGGGCATCCTCCTGGGCAGGCTGCTGCAGCCTTCCTCCCCTCAAGCTGGATGGAGAGGTCTGGGCTTTGCTCCTGGCCAAGTAGGGCACTTGGCTTGCTGCATCAGCAATGATGCACCATCTCCTGGAGAGCTTCACCTCGTTGGCTTTCCACCCATCTTTGGCGCGGGCTTCAGTGTGCACAAGCCTCTCAGTGCATGTGCTCTGTCTCATCAGCTCATCAACCACCTCAATTAGTGGGAAGTTGGCGGCAATGAGGAGGTCAACAGGAGGTTGGCAGTCAACAAGGAGGGCAGCCGCTCTCTTGCTAATAGAAAACCCTTCATTATCTGTTCCTCCCTACTGAGTATTAAAGCTCTTTCCCAGAATATGACTGGACAGAAAATAACCTAAAAGTCCTGCATTTTCACATCTTCTGCAACTCATCAGGCTTAGGTGCCCACTCTCTGGACCTCCCCATGAGGCCAAGACCTTGATGACTTGCTACTTTGTCCCCAGTAACTCCAGTACCTGTAATAGCAAAGCTCACCCCACATTGCCCCCTGAATCCACAGCCCTCCTCATCCCCTAAGATGCCTCCAGGCCTATGCACCTCACTGGGTGCCCCACCAACACCATCCACAGCTAGTTTTTTGACACCATCACGGCACATCCCCCATTAACCCCCTCCCTATATCGAAATACATATATGCTATATATACCCTCTCAATAAAAGTCATACTGAAACAAAGCCTTGCTTCAGTGCCAAAAGATATTTAGGTACAGACCATGGTGTAATCACCTGCAGCCTATCACCCCTGCTCCAACACCAGAGGGCTGGATCCTGCATGGACATTGATGTCCAGGTACACAACCATGGTCTCTGGTGTGTCTGTGCAGAGCATCCTGGGGTGTAGATGCCCTTTCCAGAGGCTAATGTCCATCGCTACAGACCGATGTGCTTTCTGGTGGCTGTTTGTCCCTTTGTGTCATGCAGGGGTGCCATCACGGCTCAGCCTGTCCTATCCATGGCAGTGCTTGAAGGTACAAAGTATGACGCACCTGCTTTTGCCAAAGCACAACCTCCCTCCTTCCCATTTTCCCCTTTGAGCCTGCAAAAGGCTCCCTCCATGCAAAGACCGGGTAGCTCCTGGGGCTGTCCCATCCCACCATGGCCAGGAAGGACATCCACACAGCCCCAACCCAGCCGGGAGTGAAGAGCAGACCCGGCACGGAAGGGCACCCGGAGTCTGGCATGGGAAAAGGGGTCCCATCCTCTTTACAGGGCTGTGCTTTTTGGCATTTTGTGCCAGCAAGGCTTTGTGGCTGTCTCCCATGCTAACAGCACTTGTGCACGACTCACCGAGGCCACCTTGTCCTGGGGATGCTTCTCTGAGGTGTCAATCTCCTTGGCTTCAAACCAACCTGACCCCTCTTGACCCCTGCTTCTGAGAAGAGAGGGTCTTGATTAGAAAATATGTTCTTCACCATCAGTGCATCTTATTACAGCCATCCATCAGTCTCCCAGTCTTCCCGTTCATCTGCCTGCAGGGTCCTTGTCTACCTGTCTATCAGTCATTTGGACATCCATCAGCCTGTCCATCAATCACCCAGCCATCAGCACCCCCACCCGTGGCTGGCACAGGCCATGCAACCCCCTCACCATGATCGTTCATCAAACTACCATTAACCCCAGCCAAGGGCACCCACGGGCACTGGAAACCCTTGGATGACATCCCTTGTCATTCCCTTTCCTTGCAGTTGCTCCCAAGGGCCCGAAGATCACGATGACCCCGACAAGAGCCCGCGTTGGAGACACTGTGCGGATTTTGGTGCAGGGCTTCCAGGTCAGCATCCCCATCCATCCCCATCACTGTGGGGTGATGCCGTGCTGACCCACAGCCTTAAATCTGCACCAGTGCTTTATGGGGTGGTCTTGGGTTGCATCATGTTCCCCACACTGGTGTACCTCTGGGCATTTCGGCTGTGCCCTGTCCTTGCTCCAGGTGCAAGACAGTGTTTGCTCATCCCCTACACCCATCTCACAGCCCCCCATCTCCCCACAGAATGAAGTCTTCCCCGAGCCCCTCTTCACCTGGACGCGGGTGGGGAGCCGGCTCCTCGACGGCAGCGCTGAGCATGATGGCAAGGAGCTGGTGCTGGAGCGGGTGCCGGCCGAGCTCAACGGCTCCATGTACCGCTGCACCGCCCAGAACCCCCTGGGCTCCACCGACACCCACACCCGGCTCATCGTTTTTGGTATGGCAGCGCCACAGAGGTCACCCATCCCTCCACAAACCCTCACTCATCTCCCCTCCAGTAAAACTGTTTCTCTGCTATTTCTTTCCCATTAGAAAACCCAAATATTCCCAGAGGAACAGAGGACTCCAACGGTGAGTGGTGATGGCACTGGTATTTCAACCCGAAACTCCCCAGGGAGGGAAGGACCGTGCAGAGAGCATCTCTCCTTGCATCACCCCAAGCTCTTGGCCATCTCTCCTTGCATTGCCCCAAGCCCTTGCCCTTGGCAGCAGGGATGTCCTTGCACCAAAAAAGGCCCTGCAGATGCTCCCCGAAGCATCCC